ATGTCTGCTTTAATTGTTTTCAATCAATTCAACGTTAACGAGCGGATCTCACACCCCACGTATAGGCTACCGACAATATTCTTTTAAATTATGTACAAGTGTGATTTCTGGATTACAATGAATGCATTGTATGTATTTTATTAAGCACATTAAGCATCGCGGGATAACTGCGAGCTCAAGTTTAGGACGATAAAATTGTCTTTTCATCAAATCTTTGTTCAGCGGTTGTCCGTATTGGCGTTTTATTTGACTATCGGCAAGGGAACTACTAGCCGTAACACCATTGGCGCCTATGAAAGTGGTCATTAGACCTCTTTCAGGCGCCTCTTTCAGAGTCTCTGGTTGCAAATGTACACCAGCTGTGTCACCGCCGCTTCATTTTATAGTCAACTGATTCTATGGTTATTACTGTAAAAAAAAAACTGGTTCTGCTTAAGATCAGAGAATATTTCGACAGACTCATAATTTTCAGACTCTAGGGTTGATGAATTAACGGTAAGTGTCCTTTACACCAGTATCCTAGCAACCCTGATTTGTTACATCCGAATTGGCAATGTAAGCTTAGAAAATTATCCACATATGGCTATCGTCCGGCTGACAGCAGCGCGCACTAGATCCTATTACTTAGCAAAGTGCTTAGAGATGGCATTACGGCACGAATGTCGGTTAGTTACTTAGTTGAACAGACGTTCTTATGCATGATAGCTTTGTAGGTCGTGCCCAGTACCCCTCAGACTTCGGATATATCGCTCAAAAATGAAGTGCCAGCGAAGACTTTGCATGTGTTCATGTCTCATGAAGGAATACAAAAGGAAAAAAAAAGCTGGATCATACGTGTTCAAATCATCTGTGTTAGTTGTCATTGGAATAGACGTACGACGTTTGATGATCCATAGGTTGACAAATACTATGTGATGACTAAAAATGCGACTAAGCGGAGCGAATGGATAAACAGTTTAAAGGGTAGATCCTAGGAGTCGGGCAGCTTGAGTCTGGGTCCGTAGATCCTGAACGTTGCTACTTCCGTAGCGAACTTAAATTCCCCGGAAGAGTAACTAAAAGTTCTCACGAAGGTAACGTTTTGTCAGTTTGTTGACACGATCTTTAGGAAAGTGCGATTAGCAGGTCTCCACATAAGTGTCGTGAATAAATACAAACATTTTAAGAGAAGCGATAGACAAATGTTCTGTATCTCTATTTGCAAGCGAAATTTTCTTATCAGTATCTAAATATTTTTGTATAAACCGATAAGTACTTATGTCAATGGTGGGGTACCAACTGTGACTCCGTCTAAACTTCGCATGCCCAAGAGCCCGTTGGAGAAAGCTTCACTGAGGAAGGCTAGGCGAACGAAGAATTCATGGCGTTTACCGTCTTTTTTTTTCTGGTATATTATATATGATACACGTGTAGGTGGTGTTCTGCTAAATAGAAATACCAGCTTCTCTTGAATCATATACAAACTAGACTATTTTCTCTTATTATTTGATGATATCTGTAGTATCATGTCGTTTCGTTCTACGGACCAGTGTACGAATATTCTCATTTGCCTGATATCAAAAACTTTATAAATATGGCAAACATTTTAGCACGAAGGGCCTGAGCATTTCAGCACGACCAAAGAATTAATAATTAAATACATTTTGAATTGATCAGGCTCATCATTTAAACAGGTTTGATCATAGTTCCAACAACCACGTCCACACGACGTGCTGTTTATATCACGACGTCCCAAACGTGGATTGTCAGCCACAGTAATTCTAAGAAGATTTGTGTTTCCCCGATCTTTTACTCAAACCGGGTACTTTATGTATCTGTCGAGCTGTTGTTTTTCTTTGAATCGAGATCTAAAAACGGTATTCTTTATGTTCGTGAAATCGTTGCCATGCTACTATGTAATTTAGCGGGAAGCAGTGATTTTAAACAGTGCTTGGGCATTATGACAAATCGCTCTTTTTTTTAACTGTTAAAGCAACCGCAATATTTGACTTTTCCAGCATTACTATTATTATCAGTATCCACCAGTACTGTATAATAATAATGTTCATTAAATTACAAACTTGTAGTTTACGTTGCTATAAAAATTTCAAATATTAATTATTAAAGATAGAAAGATATATGCCAAAGTTCATAAGAGTTAGCATGTACCCTGCAACTGAAGGTAGATTAGGTAAATAGTCAGTGCTAAATTATCTAAATTCACTTTTGAGTGCGAGTTAAAAAGTCCGAATCAAGTATCAAGGCCTTCTAGATGGCCTTCAATAAAATAAAGTTTTAAGGCCCTGCTTGTAAAGAGCTTAAAATTTTCGATACGGTAAAACTTGTACGACGTGAGCGTATATAAGCTCAGAGCTAGTACGTGCCAATACTGTTGTCTCTGTAGTACATTTCTAGCAGGATTAATTAAGAGACTAAACTGCCGGCACACTTTCAGAGAATCGTCATCTCTCAATGCGATTTTCAGACGTAGAGTCCACTGTCACCAACAGTTAGTTCATAATGTATACTAAAAGTATACACATTTTTAGGGCGGATAGGCCTTGTCATATTATAGTTTAACAGTTTCGTTTATATGGCTAGTGGAAGTAATTTTACAGATGTGTTCTGAATTTTCCAAGTTGACTGTGAACGTGCCAGGCTAAAGCTTTGATGTGCCTGTCATTGTCGATCACGCACCCGCATCAGCTGGTGACGGCAGGAGTGATTTCTTACAGGAGCACTCATGGTGCTCGACTATAGAACAGTAATCAGTAAATCGAAGGAAAGCAGTACGAGTCAAAATGATCATTGTTGGCTATGGCTTGAACATCGCAAAAGCTGAGATGGAAAAGACATCGTTGGACGTACCTTCGAAAAGATCCCGTCCGGCAATGCAGGAATCAGCTCAGGTTGGAAGGCATCTAGTGCTGGTATGCAGGGGGCAAGTGGGTACCAAATAACACGTAGTCGAAGAGAAAACTTGTAAAGCAATTTTCACGAATGTAAGAATTTTGCATGATTTGCCTATTGCCTCATTGTTTCAAAGAGACGGTAGCCCGATAGATATCAATATCCATAAAATCACGCATACATATCCCATAATAGGCGTGATACCTTATTGATTGCAAGTTTATTTAGGCTAATTTTTCTCATATAATTTTTTTGCTGTACTATGCTCTGTCTTTAGCGGCTTCTTCTAATCTTATCTGTTATTAGCAGATATGATTTATGAAGATTGCTGGTGTCATCAGCGAACCCGAAATCGCAGAATCACATATTTGTAAGTTCTTTTTTCTATCGCATAACTTTTACGTACATCAATACAATTAGATAATACAAATGAGAACTTTGATCAGTGGATGAACCATTACTTAGATGAATAGCCGGACGTGAAACGTATGACGGTGTTGAATACATAATGTATACGTATTTTACAAAAAACCTATTAAACTTCCTTTACACATTGAGAGCGATTAGTAGTGCTGATCAGAACCTACCGCACATGGTCACATCGAACAACGTCATATTGCTCCAGGTTTAGGTTCATGAAAACGCTGTGATGGGAACGGTTCGGTGAAAGGTGCTCCGCAATGACGATGTCGTTCCACTTAAGGGCTGGAAAGGATTAAATGAAGGCTTATACTGCCATTGTAGCTTCGGTTGGTGTGCGCTTCTGTGATTGTTGATTTTGTTATATGTAATTTCATTAAGCAGTTAAAAGAAATATTAACGTTAACAGGCGACAGCATGTGACAAATAATTCGTTTGTTTAGAATATTTTTGAGGCCCATTTTTCACGTAAAGTGGAACCTGGCCGTGTTAAAGTGAAGGCCTATATATGTCAGTTAATGTTTAGTTAATTAGATAGTCAAACATAATTAAAACAAATGTGTAGTGGCTTATTAGGGCACTAGGTTGAGATTTCGAAATACTTCATCTGTCGTCATGGGCTAGACTATTTCGACACCTGCAAATCTACCTTCGAGCAGAGATTGCTTACCGGGTCGACTAGCGGCCACCATCACCTAGCGAATGCCCTTTCATGCATATGCCGAATACTGGACTCACGGTATCGTGTAATTCAGTCGTTCTTTAATCGCAAAACAGGATAAAATCTGTAAAAAAATAAATAAAAATAACGGGTCTACGCGTGGTTCTTCAAAGACGTTGTGCAAATCGACTTTGCTTCTAGACATCAGTTGTCGTCTACATATAATTATACAAGGGAAGTCCCCAATGAGATTTCAATTTTTCGTAAATTCGTAGTGATCGTCCTTGTACGACGATCCAGTGATTAGCGAAAGATGTCTCTTCTCTCGAAAAACGGGTAGACCGACCGTCTGTATTTACTCCTACCTGTGTCAGTTATTAACGGGTTAAGTTCTCAGGATGCCGTCGTTTCGGCCAGCTTATGAGGGTTATAGCATAAACACTGATTTTTCTAATCTCCATTTTCGATGTCGTTCATGAAGTCTTTGGCTGTGTATAGAGATGTTATCCATTGAGTCAATCATATCAGAAAACATTAACTGGTTATGTAATGGAGGGAACAGGAAACAGCCTTTACGATTCTGTTACTACTAATGATTATCTAATGTTCTCTTCAGAAATTGAGTGGGCCGCATCTTCCGTTGCAACGAGTCATGGTAAGAATTATGAGGTTAGTGCTCGGACTTTTCCACTACGTAACACTTAATAAACGTCCTTAATAAAAATTAAGCCCTTTCCGGTTACTTCGAATTTTGACCTTCGAATTAACTGCAATATGCGTTCTCCCCTATGGAGTGAAATTTGCCTTAGTTTGGCAAATTGATGCGAACAAATGAGCCTAATTTATCGACGGTTTACACGTTCGCATATTTATGGTATGGAATACCGCTTAGTATCATATCACTGTCGTTACTATGAATGCAAGTAGCAAACGTACAAAACTGTTAGCTGATTTTAAAAGTGAACTAGGTGCTCTTGTAGACGCTCTTCGGTGGTTTCGACTGTGACGGGTGAGCGTATAAACCTCCAACATGGAACTATTAGGGGCCGAAATGCAGTCGCCGCACGTTCTTATCTACATATCGTCGATGATCGTTGCTTTTATACTGTTCATATGGGCACTCATCATTCTATTCCGGATATGGTTTGACCAGGACAGAACCATGCCTGGAACTGCGCCGTCCTGGTGGAACCCGCTGGGAGTCGAGTGGTTGGTCTATACCTGGGCTTCGAAAAACATGCCCATCGGTGAAGGTTTGTCGGTTCGCAAAACTCGTTCAGTCTAAATAGATCCATACTGTCATGCTTAACGTATCCACCGTTTCAGATTGTGGAGAAGTAGGACATATTTTTGCAATAGGAAGTCGTATTAGATATTCTGGTCTAGGGACTGTCTTTATTGACCCCACATACACTAAAATATCAAGCTAAATGGTTGGTCATAAGTCATATACATTAGAAATAATGCTAGTTGTTCTCTATTATTAAAGACTAAGGTTCGCAAATCAAATGTTCGTGCAGTGTCCTCTAAGTGGTGCCGGCATCTTTGAACCTCCAATCCATCTTAGGAACTCCAATAGAATCGTTATGGTTGTTGCAGGTGTTTTTTTTTCTCTTTACCAATTTTTAGACAGTTACAGTTAGAAGGGTGTTCGGGTGCATTTTGATTCTACTTACGCCAAAATGAGGAATATGCTATACATAAAAATATTATTGCTAAATATACGCTGCATTTAATAGTTTATTATATCTTCAATAGATCCATTTACACTGGCAGAGTATTTGCGTCATGGATGCAGACGCCAGTTGGTTTTGTGAGTCAGTGTTTTAAAAAAAATTTATAAGCAAATTATTGCCATTTCATTATTTATTTGATAAATTTCCTAGTAAAAACAACTAAATAACATACTTGTATTCGTTTTACTAAATGTGCTTACTTTATATAACTTATGTTGTGCATAAACCAAGTATAAGGGCACAATTGTTAGCCAATTTTATATTTGCTAACTAATGTTCTCGGGATGCATGCATATATATATACATATATATATATGTGTAACTATAACCAGTGTTTGTCAATTGCACATCTTACCTTCATTAGGGCTTGTTTTAGGTACTTCTATTGATCTAAAGCACGCCCGCGCGTTCTTGCAATGACAATCGATAGTATATGCAAGGCTGAAGTTTCCGTCTCACCAAATACCGCAAATGTACGGCAGAGGTATTCAACCGTATTGCACTTTTTGCAGCTTTTCGTATAGTATTGTACTAATAGCCGTTTATTGGGCCGAAATTAGTTTTCTAACTTACTGAAAAAAATAACAAGTAATAGCACAAGGGAATTTAACCTTAAAGGGCCCCGCTAGACTCATTTGGGAATTAGCAAATAGAAACTTAAAATTTCGTCTCGCTTGTCAATTTTATTAGCGCTACTTACATAGTAGATTGGACGTACCGGTAACTTTATTTGCTTATAAACGGAACCGGAGAGAAAAAAGGCAAAGGTACGTACGCTTATACCACGCAATATACGAGATAAATGAGTAAGTTAAAGTTGATAGGTTTATTGTGTAAATGTAAGTATTGTGTAAGACGGATCGAGTAGCAGCTGTCGGGTAAACACACTGTTAATGCTCGCCGAAGCAGAACGGCTGTTTGTAACGTTGACGTAACAATAACGTTGAAAATTCAATATGACAGTTACTACCGTCGTGTATGCCACCATGGGTCGCATGCGAGTTGACGCGTATCTGTATCCGAGAGCTCTATGTATTGACCTACTGATCCATTATCTCGAACATTTTAGAACCTGATCTGAAAGGTTTTTCTTTTAGGTTTGAATCTTGGCATAGACAGACTTTGTTTCGTGCTGGGAGCCAACCGGTTGTTCCTCTGATGGACTAAATACCTAACGGCGATACCAGGCGTAAAATTCTGAACAATTATCATACATATTAGCACGCATTGTTTCTTTACAATGTGGCGTAAACTTTTGAGACCGTTTATCTATCTAATTGAAGACGCGTTGTTAGCAGTGAAAGGCAGACGTGTCATGATGAGGATTCGTAAAGCCAATCGCAATTGAGCTTTCATACTTAAGCTTTCAATACGACATAAAAATTTCTATCTAGGGTAACGCATTATACTGCCACATACGTAAGATGGTGGAACACCACTTACAAGCTGCCACAAGTTTAAATATGCCAGGTTTTTTAGACGGGCAGTTATCTCTCTGCGAACGCTTAGTAGCAGAGAATCTCCTTTATAGATACTGAGACTACGATGAATGTCATGCAACATATGTCGGTATCGACGCGTATAATGTACCTATTTCGTAATAGCTCAATCGTTCCTATTACTTATACTCAGCGGAAAATTTAGTAAAAGTCAAAGGTGTCATCCGAGTAAAACCTATCTTGAGCAAACAACATAAGAAACTGATTTTGACAATTTCCTCTAATTAAAATGTAGGTAGATTATGTAATCATGATGAACTTGCGCTACAACGTTGTCAGAAGGGCGAAGAATCTGTAAAAAAAATTACAAAAGAAAATAATTAATTTCTACACGAAAAAAAAATGACGAAATCCTTGTGGACAACGGGTGTAGAACAGCGAAAAGTTTATGCCACTATCTAACAAATATCCGATAAATTATTTTCAAGAATCAAGCTATTTTCGACATATCGTAATGTATGAGCTTCTGTTCTCAGCGAGTTAGCAGGTACTAACGTGTTCTTCGGCTATGTACGCATTTATTTGGTGCATGGCTTGATTGCGAATGTTAACATACTATAGTCAGTCACAAATGTGTAGTCTTTTATGAGGTGTCAACGAAAAAAAAACTTCGACTTCATTCGATGTGTTTTGTTTTGCGTTTCGTATACCGTTCATGCAAACCCTTACCAGACACGTTTTGAATGATTGTGCTTCACAGCGCTCTTGCCGGCCCTCAACTTCTACGGTCGACAAGATGACCCCAAGCAAGAAAGAATCATTCGGACGTTTTTATTCATTTTTATCGCTAGGGATTATTAGTAAGGCGGCCGGGTTCGAAGCAGTCTTGTCGTCATTGAAGTTAATCAACAAGTGGTTGATTTACGGGTTCTTCGATTCATGGCTAGGAACCGGCTTACTTACCAGATATGCTTGCTCAGTAATTCGTTGGAACAAATGGTCAGCTGTTATAGGGGATACACGTTCTTCATGTACAATTATCATCACTCGTTGCGAATATTTCAACTAGGTCGGTAATACCCATTCCGAGAGAGAGCTCCTTGTTCCTTGTTTTCCAATATTAAAGCTAATTTCTAGTCCGCTAATGAAACTCGCAACACAATAGTTCAAACTTTATTTTGGGTATTTTTTATTTCTATTTATGCGATATTACAATTCTTTCTTCACCTCTAACCCAGTGATGGTGACCAATGGCGACGACAACGAGAGATGCTCACACCTGCGTTCCATTTTCGTATCCTCGAGGACGTCATGCCCGTCTTCAATGAGTACTTGCAACATTTTATTAGAGCTCTTAAAAATTACGAGCGACGGAAGCCGATCGAGGTTACGTCGCTTGCTGGTATGGCTACGCTCGATATTATCTGTGGTGAACAAAAAATCGCTTTTTAAATAGCAGTTATCCTTGAGCTTAAGTTATAATTATACAGTGCAATCAAGTGTTAGCTAAGTCGAATATAAAAGAAGCATACTGAGTACCAAGCAATGACTTCATACTGAGTAATAAGCAAACTCAATTCTGACAAGATTTCCAACGGGTATCTAGCAACTTCAAATCGTCCACAGTTAGACTCATGAATATTCCATAGAGGCGGCAATGGATACAAAGATACATGCTCAGGAGAACAGCTGTTCAGACTATGTGAAAGCAGTTAACATTGCCGGAGCTAGCTTCATAGAGCGCATTTTGACACCCTGGCAATGGATTAATGCCTCATATAATATCAGTGCCAGTGGTCGTCGCTACAATGAGAACTTAAATGTTCTTCACGAGTTCACTTAAAAGGGTGAGTCTAGTGAATATTATGTTTCGACAACTTATGTGGATTCAGCTAGAATGAAGAGGAATGAAATCGTGCGTTATATATCGACTGATGCACATGAAGTAGAAATTGGATAAATTAGTTCAGTGGAAAAAGCTTGAGCGAATGAAAAAACCCAAATATACAAAACTACGTACTTATTTGGATACCAACAGATAATTGAAGAACGCAAAAACGAGATCCTCGCAGGACATAGAAACAGCGGAGTCAACTCAAAGGGTGATAGAGACATCGGTATGAAAAATGGATATCCATTCATCGATTTGCTGATCGAGAGTCACTTGCAGGACCCCCAGAGTGTGTCCTTAGAAAGCGTTCAAAAGGAGGTAGGTACCTTTATGTTTGAAGGACACGACACCACTGCTGTGGATAAACATTAAGACTTTTTCGAGCGTCCAAGCAGTCAAATCAGGCGTAGAAAAATAGTTCTGACGTTTAAACTTTAATTGTTGCTGGGTGTTTCGTGGATGCTCTATCTTCTTGCCGAAAATCCTAACATACAAAGGAAAGTTCATCAAGATCTTGATTAGATCTTCGGAAACGATGGTAAAAGACCGGTGGCCAATGATGATCTCATAAGAATGAACTACACTGAATGCTGTATTAAGGTAAGGAATGATTTTAACTCTGACTCTCTGCTCAGTCTGCTCTTGAGGACATAAACTTGACTTTGTAAGCTTTGGTAATTCAGCGATATGTGATAATTACACAGTCTACTGAAACTAGAGAGAATAAGGCAGTACATATATGAATCGATATTATCAGCCGAGCTGTACAATTTCATCATCCTCTAATTATACTTTACCGTGGAAGCATCTCATTATATATTATGTGTAGATTATTGTTGGGATACAATCTTCCCTTGATTACATATACTTAGCTAAGCAAATTGTAGCTGATGAGATACGTACAGGGAAATGGTTTTTGGCTAACTCGAATCCTGGGCGTCGTATTATACCCATCATATACTACTACCGTTAGATGTTTTTAATGATGCGAACAATTTGGACGGAATCTTCTTCACGATACACATTGGTATTGCGCCAAATGACCTATAAGCTCAATTAGCACGGATTTTTTTGCCCTTATTTTAATCAAAGGGTACCGAACGCTAACGATGAGTCTCGCCTTGACTCGAGATCACATATCTTCAACCCAGAATAGAAATCGCGAACAAATTCTCAACGGAAAAGTGTACTACTGCTATACGCTGTAACCTACGGTAATAGCTCAGATCTAATGAGCATCAAGCAACTATTGATTTGAAACAAATATATGACATCCGCCTCCTTTGCAGGAAGCACGGCGGCTGTATCCTTCGGTGCACTTAATTGCTCGATACGTAAACGAGGACTCTACCATTTGTAAGTAACCTAGCTACGGAGAATATTTTTGATTTTTTAAACAAAAAACATTAAGCTGTTATAATTCTAGCTAAAGCAATCATCGCTGCTCTTGCTCAGGTGGTTACAAGGTGAAGGTATCAACCTTTATTATACTGAACATTTTCCGTGCTCATCGTGACCCAAGCGTGTTCGCTGATCCCGAACGCTACGATCCCGATAGATTCTTGTCGGAGAACGCTGCTGGTCGACATCCTTTTGCCTATGTGCCTTTCTCCGCTGGCCCACGAAACTGCATTGGAAAGTATAATACGTATAGACGATAACAAGAGATAGACTTTTTATGTAGGTAATAATCGACTGGTATAGCTGGGCCAAAAGTTCGCGCGGAAGTTCCGTTTGAGGTCAGCTTTACGAAGCGAGGACGTGCACGCGCTGGGAGAACTTGTTACCCGTCCGAAAGATGGGCTTCCTCTTTACATTGAACCTCGCAATTGAATATCGGAAGTGTCGCTAAAGGATACCGCGTATTAAGAACTTTTGTGAAAAAAAATGTCGTACACGTTGTTTAGGATTGAGAAATGCCAAGTACCATATAACAACATGGCCTCAACAGCAATCTTCACCAGATGATCCGTGCTGACTTTGACCTTGCGGTAAACTCTTTATTGTAAAGTATACGCATAAACGACCCTTTTGAGATAAAAATTCTCGTTGATAGCATCTAGAAGCAGTACACAATATACTCGAGTGTCACCTGGAGCTCATTGATTGACCTCAAATCTAGCTTGAATCGACATCAGTGTCGATGATTCAGAACCTTAAACATGTTACATACTTGCGTGTTAAATAAATGAATACCTAATTTGTAAATGCATGTCTAAAACTGAATAGTACACTTACATTTAGCATTAAGCAAAAATCGCCAGTAACACTATTGTGAATGGACCGTTCTGAGGTACAGCATCCTAGAAAAATCGACCTGTCAAGGATGTATCTATCTAGAGCAATTTTAGGGGTCATAGAAGACTCTTATTAGAAGCATGTCTTAATCTTAAGTATATTTTAAGAAGATCGAAAGTTTGTTAATTACCAGAACCATACTCGCGCCGAAAGAGCTGTGCTTAAACGCTACATATACATTGCTATGTACGCTTAATAAAATGGCTGCTCATACTAGAGGACGCGTCCTTATTAATATTTATGGTCATGTATTAAGTGTTGTTGAAAGCGAAATTTACGAGCGACAATTTTTCAGAGGCCCCGAGCATTATGTATTATGTCTATGTACTATATAAGGCTAGATCGTTCTATCATCGTACAATTGGATAAAGCATAAGAAATACATAATTGTCATAATGATACAACACGGTTATACGTGAATTAGCTAACATTTTAAAACTGAATTTTTTTCTATTTCGGCCATAAATAAGCGAAGGAACCTGCGATTAGGTCAAATGCTGGCCAACCAGATCGTAATGACGTCAAGCCGTTAGAGATTAGTACATTTGATCTGTTACACAATCATCCGTTCAAACAAAGATTGTCTATTCACGACTCAGGACAGCGCTTTCCCTACTGCAGTTCTTTTCTATTCAGGCTAGCTTTCCTTTCTTTTTCATTTTTGATTTCATTATCACCCTAAACAAACGCCAAAAATGTCCTCATTATTAATTAATAATAATGGTATTAATAATGGTATTGTTGATATTTTACGGGATTTTTGTGGTCATCTCTGAGGACTTCGATTCCATTTTTTAGACTGGAACGAAAAACAGCTTTTTACCCATAGAACAACGTTTTCCTGCTTGTTTAAAGATAACTACAACCTAGCAGGTAAAAGGAAAAAAAGAGGCGGGGCATCCCGTGATGACTCAAGGTTAACGCGTTTACTAAAGGAACCTAGGGACACAGAAGATGGTCTAGATTCGTTGACATGTCGTGACAGGTCTTGGAAACTTTCAATCCTACCCGTTAAAGTACTGTATACATACAATGATACAAAGGGGCCTGAAACGACGCCGTTCATACCCTATTGTCTACTCAGGACTATTGATGGGTCCTCCTGACATAAAAGTAGACTTTTTTGTTGATCAATCAAGCTTATTGGCACCGGAACGCAACCCTATGAAGCGAGCTGCGTCGCGTAAGAGAAAGAACCTGGAGAAAATCCCGGGCAACTGTCCAGTGGTTATCCTGAACGTATGATTCGGAAGCATTCAACTATAAGACTAAGCAATGGGAAGACACAAACTACAACTAATTGTTTTAATTTAAGCATTCCTAAAAACGAACTGACTTGACTATGACAGGAAGTTATTGAAAGCAGTTTTGTCGATAAATGAACAAAATCTTATCATCCTCAACTTATTTTCTTCTAAGCATTTATTGCAAATTATTTCACACATTTGTTTCAACGATTTGGTATCTCCGTTATCGAGAAAATTCGACATTAGTTTCCAGGATTCTTTTCTCCAAGAGGAAAAACCCCCAGCTTTAGCTTAAACATCTGCACCGAGTTTTCCTCTCAAAAGAATACTCCGGTTGTCAAGCTTATGACTACCAAACGACGATAAAGGTACGAATAGCTAGCTATACGACGGCTCTATGAAATTCGAATTGCTCGGTGGTATCGCCAAGTACTTGAATATAGCTTTTTTTTTAAATGGCAAGAGGTTTAATGGCACCTCGAAAACGTCACTCGACTGTTAAGCTTAGCCCGAAAGTGCCCGAAAAGACCGCGTCCGATTTTCACCTAAGCAGTCTGACGGACAGCATAGTTCAGATTGTGTCGACTATAAAATAGTCGAACTATTCGCTAACTAAATAAAAAAAAAACTAAAGCTTTAGCACCAGAATGGATCAACTATAATATGTCTCTCACAAATGCCTGTGCAAAAATTGTTGAAAATGTAAAGCACACAAATATAATCAAGTCAGCTTACATCGGCCTCTATGGCATCGGAGTGAGATATCTTGGACATATACAAGAGGTCCTAAGTGAAGCCAAATAGGTTATTATACTTGCCACAGGCGAGCGGTGCTAGCATCATAAATGAATAATATTACTTGGATTTGATGAATTACCAAATGTGTGAAGCTTGATGAAAGCGTACCACTGCTGAAACGCGACGGCCATGGCCGTAAGCGGGGACTTCAGTGTAACTTCGCACATAGGCAGAATTCTCGAAAGCATCGTTTTCCGACAGCTGCTAAGAGCCTTTAAAGTAAAAAGCGGCATCTCAGACTAAACGCAACTTCTGTTGACACAGGACAACGTTCTAGATCTTGTAAATGATATCGATAACGCTAATGTTAACTCTAAACGCTCGGGAAAAAAAAATGACATTTTTCGCTATTTGGCAATGATATCTGTCTTTTACGAATATTTGAGAAAAATTAAACGACTTCATGTTCGAAGTGCACGTCATCATGGGTAAATGCTGAGACCTTTGAGAGCGTCTAAATAGAATAAGATTGCCAGTTAGAGAAGTAGGACAAGATTCGAGTTATAAATCGCATAATTTTGTTCTGATGTAACATTGCGAACTCTATTGTTACGCATCTTATCGACGCTGTATCTTCTTGGCAGACATTTTGACATACAGTTAAGGTTTACCGGAACCTTGATGACATCTTCGGAATCAATAAAGACAGTCCGATATAAAGATATATATGATCTTTTAAAGGTAATCTTTCTATGTCGAGTTTGATAATGTAGCAAATTAAAGGTGGCTGCATCAAGGTAAAAGGTGATCTCTATCTATATAATTCAAAAGTGACCACTAAGTAATTTTTATCCAACTCCATATAACAATCACACAATTTACAACAACCGGAGAGAACGAAGTTGAATATATAAGAACAATACTATCAGCATTTCATTATTTTCTGATCTTAATGTATAAATAGTTTATACATTGTGGCTAAGTTGCTGCTCGGACAAAATCTAACTTCGATTACGCATACTTAGCAAAACTGATGAGAACATAATGACATATCATAGTTAGCGCTGCTGTTGGTGTTGCTAACCTAACCTAACCTAACCTAACCTAACAGCTAACCTAACCTAACCTAACCTGACAGCTAACATAACCTAACCTAACAGCTAACCTAACAGCTAACCTAACCTAACCTGACAGCTAACATAACCTAACAGCTAACCTAACCTAACAGCTAACCTAACCTAACCTGACAGCTAACATAACCTAACCTAACAGCTAACCTAACAGCTAACCTAACCTAACCTGATAGCTAACATAACCTAACAGCTAACCTAACTTAACAGCTAACCTAACTTCGATTACGCATACTTAGCAAAACTGATGAAAACATAATGACATATCATAGTTAGCGCTGCTTTTAGTGTTGCTAACCTAACCTAACCTAACAGCTAACCTAACCTAACCTAACAGCTAACCTAACCTAACAGCTAACCTAACCTAACCTAACAGCTAACCTAACCTAACCTAACAGCTAACCTAACTTCGATTACGCATACTTAGCAAAACTGATGAGAACATAATGACATATCATAGTTAGCGCTGCTGTTGGTGTTGCTAACCTAACCTAACCTAACCTAACAGCTAACCTAACCTGACAGCTAACATAACCTAACCTAACATCTAACCTAACCTAACCTAACACTAACTAACCTAACCTAACAGCTAACCTAACCTAACCTAACAGCTAACCTAACTTCGATTACGCATACTTAGCAAAACTGATGAGAACATAATGACATATCATAGTTAGCGCTGCTGTTGGTGTTGCTAACCTAACCTAACCTAACTAACGCTAACCTAACCTGACAGCTAACATAACCTAACCTAACATCTAACCTAACCTAACCTAACCTGACAGCTAACATAACCTAACAGCTAACCTAACTAACAGCTAACCTAACTTCGATTACGCATACTTAGCAAAACTGATGAGAACATAATGACATATCATAGTTAGCGCTGCTGTTGGTGTTGCTAACCTAACCTAACCTAACCTAACAGCTAACCTAACCTGACAGCTAACATAACCTAACCTAACATCTAACCTAACCTAACCTAACAACCTAACCTAACCTAACAGCTAACCTAACCTAACAGCTAACCTAACCTAACAGCTAACCTAACTTCGATTACGCATACTTAGCAAAACTGATGAGAACATAATGACATATCATAGTTAGCGCTGCTGTTGGTGTTGCTAACCTAACCTAACCTAACCTAACAGCTAACCTAACCTGACAGCTAACATAACCTAACCTAACATCTAACCTAACCTAACCTAACCTGACAGCTAACATAACCTAACAGCTAACCTAACTTAACAGCTAACCTAACTTCGATTACGCATACTTAGCAAAACTGATGAAAACATAATGACATATCATAGTTAGCGCTGCTTTTAGTGTTGCTAACCTAACCTAACCTAACCTAATAGCTAATCTAACCTAACAGCTAACCTAACCTAACAGCTAACCTAACCTAACCTAACAGCTAACCTAACCTAACCTAACAGCTAACCTAACTTCGATTACGCATACTTAGCAAAACTGATGAGAACATAATGACATATCATAGTTAGCGCTGCTTTTGATGTTGCAAAAGGTTCGGATAGGAGATGACATTCGATTTTTAATGTTTTTTTAATTTAACAATTTGATAATTGAAGCTCTTGCTACGGGTTCTTTTCTTCTCTCATAACGACTAGTGACAGGTCCTTGCTTGATCCGAACTCATTCTGTCT